TATATATATATATATATGTGTGAATAAGAGAACATTTGTTTGTGCATTTTCCCTATTTTTATGTTACAAAATTATATTTGTTTACTTACCGCACTTGAAGCACGTTTTGTGCCATTTTAGTCCACCGGCAACTCGCTCTTCTGCAGCATAAACAGATTTGCCACATTTAGGGCATTTTGGATGTTCCACGGGCTTGAAAGGCATTTTTACACTGAAAAAGAAATTCTGTTGATGCGCGTATCCTATTACACCGCAATTAGTTATAAAATTATCTATCGTCTGTCAAATTTAAAAATTATTGTAGTGTTAATTATTATTTTTTATTCAGTTTTATACATAAAACTGAAAAGATAATATAATCTTATAATAATTTGCCGAGTTGACAGAAAAGTGACACAAATAAAAAGATAATATTTTTGAGATAACGAAAAAAAAATCGATCCTAAGGAACTAATATATTGTAAGGAACACTAATATATTGTTGTTGAAAAATGATACTTTTGTTAACATGTTGCTGTAGAAAAATGTTACACGAGTTTGATAAGGAATTTACACAACTATACTAAAGTTGCAATATTCAAATTTTGAAAACTTATGACATAATTTTAAAGAATATATTATGATTTTTAATGACATGGAAAGAAAATATATGCATATTCATTATCTTAATTAAAACATTGTCCCAATTCAGAAAGAATTAAAAAAATATTCTACTAAAGAGTTGCTAATTGTAAGTCGTATCACTTTTCTATCAATGCAGCGAATTATTTCATAATGATAATACAATTAAAATTATATTAATATCTCTTTAATTATCTAAAATTAACTTTAATGCTTCTTAAAAGAAATCTCAATGAAAAATCAAGACGGAAGTATCTCTATTTGAAAATATTTTTTAAAAAAATTCGTGGTTTCGAAATTCGTAATCAAATTTGACATTTTTATTAATATCGAGAGGAATCATTGCCGATACGGTAACCGATTTCAGTTACCTAACTGGTCGTTGACGAGGACGTAAACAATCCGCGTTTCCGTCTGACTCGTCGGCAACCAGTCCTATTTTTGTGGCCAGCTTAAAACGTGCGCACAGTTGAGCAAATGGAAGAACGAACGTGTAAAAAAGAAAATAAAAATATATCACACGCGATACCAGAGCATTGAACAAATCTACAAACATGCATTTACGAACAGCTTGTCTTTTTACTTTATATAGAAAAAATTTTGATAGTAACTTAATTTAGATGTTTAAAAAATTATGAATTATGTTTGGAGCAATAATAAAATATAAATAATAAAATGATATTACAAATTAATGAAAAAAGAAATGTTTGCATTTGTTTAAAAAAGATATCAGTAATCCGATTTATCAGTGAAAGAATAAAATATTTTTAAAATATTTTAAAATATTTTAACAAATTAAGCTGCAGTAAATATATACAATACATTAATCTTAAATTATTTTCAAATAGATGTACTGATACTCATTTTTCCGATAATCGACATATAAATTAAAATATCATATTCTGAACACTTTAAATCTTTAAATGATATTTATATAAAAGACCAAAAAAAAAGAATTGATTTTTATCTATCTAAATGTTAAACAAAATAGATAACTCTGAATTATTCTGTATGATTATAAGAAAATAGTATTGTAATTATAAATATGAATATTATAATAAATATAATATAATAAATATGAATAATATAATATAATAAATAGGATTATTATTACAAATATTTATTTCTTAGATGTCGACATTTTTACGATATCGATGGCAATGCGTTATAGAAAATCTTTAATTATTTAAAATAGATGTTGACAGTGTGTTAAAAAAAATATAACTATTATTAAAAATATAAAAGTAAACAACAATTGATTGACACGCTTGTTGCAACGATATAGTAATAATTTGGCATGAACATTAATAGATGTGCAATAATAGCGTTTGGCAATACTAGTTGATCGTACACTTGCAATGATTTCGCTTTGATAGCATGCAAAGATAATAGTAATAAATAAAAATATCAATATAGTATTTGGCATAATAATGTTATATAGATATAAAATGCATTATTAATAATATTGTACAAAAAATAATAAATATTAAATAACAAAAATAGAAATAATATTTTTAACAAAGATCCGGGGTGCAACAGAGCTGCTTTATATATGTATAAATGTAAATGTAAATGCATATATATACATTTGTGTGTGTGTGTGTGTGTGTGTGTGTGTGTGTGTGTGTGTGTGTGCGTGTGCGTGTACGTGTGCGTGCGTGCGTACGTGTATATATGTATAAGTAATATTTTATAAAACGAATTTGTCAAATTTTATTTAAGTTAAAAATAATTAAACAACACATAGAAAATAAACCGTTAGTGAAATACTCCAGTAATCGTATTATTATAAAAACAACATTTACTGTCACTAATTTTAATTAAAATTTTATAACATTTTATTTTTAATAAATATATACATGATTTTGTATTTCTTTTAAAACACTGATTCTAATTCATATCAATGAATTATGTCTTTGAATTCCGTAGCGTTTAGCAAGCTTCTGCTGCACAAATGCGCTCTGTTACTACTGACAGTAGTATCCGGTAATAATATGATACGCCAGTAGTAACGGTCGTAATAGAGGCAGTAGTAACAGGCGGCATCGCGCGGCTAAAGAGAAAGAGAGCAAACTAGAAAGAGAGAGAGAGAGAGAGAGAGAGAGAGAGAGAGAGAGAGAGAGAGAGAAAACGGGCGATTCTATATCCGTGCAGACGGGTGCAGGCGAGTCCGCGAAACCGTATTAGGGAAGGCGCTAGGTTCTCCACGATAGCAGTCTCCTCGTTTTACCCCTACCGTTCAATCGCCCGCATATTCGTGGATGGAATGCGCAGTAATCTAACGCGTATCCTGTCACGCCGATAAGGCTACAAAATGTTCCTATATGTCAAAATGTTACGTTACACACAAAAATAAAAAAAAACCAAGACTAATTTAAAATTTATAAGATTTATCTGTTAGTTATACTAAATATCTTTCAGTTTTTGCATATAATTTACATACATTATACAATTAATTATTGTATAATATAGGCCTCGCTAATAATATTTATATAGCTTTGCATATGTAAATAACTTAAAATTACAACGTAAAAATTTAAAAAATTTATATTACTTATGTATAATGTATTACTATCGAAATTTTCAAATTATTAAAATTTTTTTTTTATTTATATTATTAACATATATTATTAACATATAACACAAATTTCTTACTCAATATACTCATTGTGTAATATATTTATTGACTCGCATAATTTATTTAATAAAAT